GTAGAAGGGATTGTTTTGAAAAAGAATAACGTAGGAAGAATCGAAGAATGATCGAGTATCGATCGCGTGCTAAACCAATCGTTCGGATCGTGACTAGATCGGAACCGAGAAACGAACGAACAACCACTCTTGCTTGATTCTCGAACGGAACGAGAGAAAGAGAGAAAGAGATAGTTTTATCCCGAAGGTAGATTGTGTCAGAGAAAGAAAGAAAGAGAGAGAGAGAGAGAGAGAGGGTGGGAGGAGTTGTATACCAAAAAAAAAATAAAAGCAACGAGAAAAAGAGAGAAAGAGAGAGAGAGAGAGAGAGAAGAGTCATGGACAAAGTTACGTACATTTTGCCGGTGCAACAGAAAGCCAACCAGCCAACCAGCCAACCAGCCAGCCGGCTTTGGCAAACCGCACATCGAGAGAGAGAGAGAGAGAGAGAGAAAGACTCTCGTTCTCTTTCTTTCGTAGAGTTGGAACGTTGCTTTCCGATTGCATTATCGTACACGGTGATTAATCGTCGCCCGAGGTGTTCCATTGTCTCTCAGGGACGTCGCGGCGCTGCTCTGCTCAAGACTTCTCTTCTCTTCTCTTTTCTTTTCTTTTCTTTTCTTTTCTTTTTCTTCGCCGACATTTCGCGGCCTTTTCACGAAGGTTTCTCAAAAGGAACAACATTAACGTTCGAAAACATTTAGAGACAGATCACTACCACCATCATCATCATCATCATCACCAATTCATGTCCGGGAAAAGGATAATCATTCATAGACCTATGTAGAATATTTTCTATTTATCGTCGGTCTTCGATATATATGATCGATTCGAGTTTGTCGAAATTGTTTATAATAATTTTCTTAATTATTATTAACCAGTTGAACACTTCCACAATCGCTGACACCAATGTGGTGTCATTGGTAGGCCAGTCGTCGTACGCCGATGATACTCATGTGATGTCATTGGTAGGTCAGTCGTCGTACGCCGGTGACAATCATGTGGTGTCATTGGTAAGAAATGTTTACAAATTGTGCGGACGGCAAAGTGTTTCTTCCAAAATATTGCCGGCCACTGGCAAAGTTTCACTGCGCAAACGTGCGGTTGTAAAAGTGTTAAGCGTGTTTGACGACTATATACGTCATAGATATGTAACAAAATGTTGTTTTATGATGTCTTCTAATATCCGTCATGCGTGTAAAAGTAATTTGATGTTTAAATTGTGTCATTTTGGTAGCGAAAATTACAAATTATATCACGTAAATTTGAATATGTTTGAAATTGTTTAGAGGTGAAGAAAAAAAAAACGCGGTTAACGCGTTTTGTCAACTCGAAAGTCTACTGTAAATAAATTAAACGAGTAAATAGAAAAAAAAATGTTAAAGTTAAAAAAAAAAAAAAAACAAACAAATATATTTATTCTTACATTTTCATTATGTTAAACAAAACAAATGTTAATAGTAAAATAAACATTTTTCACGGAACACAGAGGTCAGTGTTAATATAGTTTGGAAAATGTTAATCTAAACGAACGAGTCTATGGATCTTTCGTAGATCTCTTCTTAACGATCTTCCTAATCTTTTGAAAAAACATGTGAAAATGTTCAAACATCATTTTTTCATTACTTTCATACGTGAAACATGTCAAGTTGTTACGTAATCATTTCAATTACCACGACTTCTTATTCACCGACCTATTTTTCTATTATTCCTTTCAATTCCAATGAATTAACCCATTGAAATACACGACCAATCGATTAACATCTACGAAAAGGGTCATAAGAATGAACTATGTATAATATATTGATCGGAATAATGTATGCAATGGATCATCGTTTAATTTCACAACGATTATTTCTAAAATCAAGGAAAACTATTCGAACATATTTCTTGTTAAGAAAAGGATAGACAGTAATTCATAATTTTTTTCTATTCCTAGTTAAAGATTTAAATATACGCGCCCAAAGATGTAACAGCAATATGGCTAATAGGTAAAAACAATGGAGGGATACGAAACGCATCCGGGATTGAACAGATAAGCGCGGACGTATAAAGAGAAATATCATAATTGAATATTGTTAAGTATACTATTTTATATCAATTATAAGAAAAGTAAGATTGTAACGTTGTTTGTCCGCAATGGACTCCTAAACTACTGAACCGATTTTAATTAAATTTTGCAAATTGTCTGCAGTTTCATCCAACTTGGAAGATAGGATAGTTTATATCTCAATTTATTGCGAATTATTTGTTTATTAACAAAGAGTCATGATTATCTCTGACTGATTGTGAGCCACAGCGACGTGTGCCGAGGTATCTCTAATATAATATAAAACCTGCCGAACTTGCTGCATATTTTCTCAATACAAAAAGAAAAAATTCAACATTTCTGATGAATACTTTCTGTTGATCATCATCATAAATCAACTAAAAATACAAAACATGTCGACATTATAACCGACTCCTTACAATTCTCATAGGAATGTCGCGAATGTCTTCTTGACGCGTTTACGTACATCGGAAATAGGAATTCTTAAAGACTACTCTTTCTCAAGAGTTCGGTAAACAATGTCGTCTGTTCTGAACTTGTGGTTAGAATATTGCATGACATACGTTTATGTTACTTCGCGTGTGAAGAAGAAAAATACTCACAGCTTAGAAAAATCAAAAAATCTTGTTTATCTACTCTTTCTCGAAATATTATGCTCATTACTTATCGTTATATTAAAGTATACCATACGTCGTGATGTTTCTGTCCCAAAACTAAAAGACCGACGTCGTATACAATACATCGCTTAAAAAGCAGCTTGTTAACTTTTACTTTAAGTAGTTTAAGTTTAACTGCTCTAAACTTTTCGCATAACAATTTAGAAATACAAAATTATTTAAATAAACAACATAAATTGGACCGAATTGTAACACTAAACCATTATCAAATCCACCTGAAGACACACACAAAATTTCATTGAAATCGGTTCAGCCATTTAGGAGGAGTTCAATTACAAAAACGTGCACAGAAGAAATATATATATGTATAAATATGAAAGAAAAAATTCCATTCAGAGATTAAGAATAATATAATATAATATAAGATAATAAACATAATAACTATGAAGAGAACAATAAAATCCCAAACAAACTCGAGAATTTTCAAAAAATCAATTTGTTTTTTACCTTAAAGTGTACTTTAAATATCTAAAAACAATATGCACTTGGTCTCGATGCAAAAAAAAGATTTTAAACATATAAAAATCTTAGTTTTACCTAAGCGCTTCAAAGCGAAACGAAGTGCAGTGAGAATGGGACAGAATGTAACGCTGGTTGAAACGTAGCGCTAGGCACAACCATCGTGAAGTTAGCATATAAGTCAAATGGTTAAAGTATTTTATCAAATGAAAATAACAAATATCCGTTTTCACAAGGAAATATATGTACGTACGAAAAGAGAATGTAACACAACATACTTATTATACAATAGATAATTTTTGTTACTAACTTATAATGCTATTATATATTTACACGAGATAGGCGAGAATAGAACCTTGTTCTACTTTTTCTACAGATTCTAAAATAAGACTACTTATTAGCAGCAAGTAAAACCACGGTCGGTGAAACCATGTAAATAAATCTATTGAAAGCATAACGTGAATGAATAAATTGCTCCGAAGAAAATTATGAGAGTTCTGTCTGTGAACTTTGAACCGTAGGAAGTACCTAACCAATATAACTTGAGACTGTATAATGTGCTTTTACTTTACGAAAGATTATTATCTATCTACTTTATTAATACGTTCACCGGTACACTCCACTTTTTCCAAAGTTTTTATTATATAAAACGTTTTGTATGATTTTTTTTGTGACATTTGTTAGACCCAATGGAGTAAGTTAGTGCTGGTGTGTACTTTCTAATAAGAGTAAAGTCTAATGTTTAATATCTGACAGATATTTTATCTTAAAAAAAAAAAAAAGGAAAAAGAAATATTCTTGTAAAAATGATCAAACGGATATATTGAATTTATAAAAGATCGCGTTTTCTTTTTTTTTTTTTTTTTTTTTTTTCATAGTCAAACGAAGTGTTTACAAAAAGATTCAAATTTAAATGAAAAATTTTTACATTACCGTTTGCACAACGTTCATTGATTTATTACAGGTGGTATCTGTTGGTCATCGATCAGCAATGGCCGCTGCAAAGAATTATTATCTCAAGGTGTTACAAGAGAAGATTGTTGCGCGTCGAATGCAGCTGCTGCAACGGCTTACTCGGATGAAGATTTGGACAGTGGAAGTCTTTTCTTTTGGCGAGTTCTCGGAGGTGGTGTCCAATGTCGACCTTGCAGAGGTAAACCGAAAAGAAAATTTATTTCAAAAAAAAAACACAATCACAAATCAAATCAAATCAAATAATATATAAAATAAAATTTAAACAAAAAAAAAATATATATATATATATATAAATAAATAAATAAATAAATTTGAAATTAGCAATTGGAAAATTTTAATAGGACGAATCGGCAAATGGAAGAATAGTCTTTAAAAAGAGAGAGAGAGAGAGAGAGAGAGAGAAAGAAAGAGAGGTAAAAAATAAAATATATATATATAAAAAAAAAAAAAATAAGCTTGAAATTAAAAAAAAAAAAAAAAAAAAATTGGAAAAAATTTTAATACGACGAATCGAAGAATGGAAGAATGATCTTTACAAAGGTAGAAAGAGAGAGAGAGAGAGAGAGCGAGAGAAAGAGAGAGAGAGAGAGCGAGCGAGAGAGAGAGAGAGAGAGAAAAGGGCACGTATCGTTTGTTCGCAGAGAGTTGCGCGGAAGTGAAATGCGAGGAAGGGAAAAAGTGCGTGGTGCGAAGGGGAAGGCCTCGATGCGTCTGTAGCCCCGAATGCAAAGCTCCGAGAGGGGGTGGCCCGGTCTGCGGAACGGACGGAAGGAGTTACAAGAGCTTGTGCAGGCTCAAGAAGCGAGCTTGCAAGAAGGGGAGCCACGAGCTTGCCGTTGCCTATACCGGCCACTGCCAAAGTGAGTATGTATAAACCGAGACTTCTTTTTTTAAATATTTTTTTACATTATTTTGTAATAAGATCGATTGCGATTAAGTACATTATTAATCCTGTTGAGTACTGAATAATTAGTTTATTATTAATATGACTTGTTGATTGATATTATTGATCAAATTCTAATAATAAATGATATTTAATAAGTTTTCTTTTTAATAACAAGATTTAAAATAATAATCAATAGACAAATCAATATTATATTATTTTACATTAATTATTGACAAACACGTATGTATATGCATTAGTGTTAGATCACGCTGGCAACTTTTACCAAACACATATGTGTGCCCATAATTATGAAAGTGATCTAAATCAAAATTAAAAAAAAAAAAACAATGAGTTTATTAGTTATTACACACCACATTATTTTAAACTGTGGTCAAATTCAATGTAATTTGAAAGCGATATTGTTAAAAATAAATCGTTAAATAATTTTCAATTATCATTCAATATTACATAGAATTCATATAATGTTCAAATAGAAATCTTGAAATATTTCGAAACGAGAGATACATGACTTAGATCACTTTCATAATTATGGGCACAAAATATGCGTTGACTTTTCTTAACAAATTTTTCTGTAAATTTGTTCGCATTTATTTAAATACGCGTAATAGAAAAATGGGTATACGATATTACCGAGAAAACAAAAAAGTAATTAACTCTAGGAAAAAGAAATAAGGGGGCAAAAAAGAAAGGGAATAAATAGGTAAAGTAAATGCGGCAGGTATATCGGGTTATGACGGTCGAGGGGTTGGTTGGTTGGTTTGTTGGTTGGTTGGTTGGTCGCGTCGCGTATAGTAAGAAGGCGTAAAACGGCGGYGGCGGCGGCGGCACGTTGGTTTCGACGAAACGGAGCGTCACAAATTGCATAAGCCTCGAAGCCCAGTAAGATCAATGATTCTGAAAGGGATAATCGGCTAACGTCGTCGAGGCGTCGTGGCCTTCCGGCTCGTTATTTTCACCTGCATTGAGAGTCGCAGACTCTATAATCCATTTTTCTCGGTTTAATCATCGACGACACGTTTACCGAGTAAAGAAAAGAAAAATAAATAAAAAAGTACGGAAGGGGAAGGGGGGGAAGAAAATTAAAGTTTAACATAAGGATAGATTTAAAAATATTTATACAAAGTATATATATATGTATGTATGTATGTGTGTATGTACGTATGTATGCATGCATGTATAAATTGTAACGGAAAAGGAACGAGGAGGATGGTTCTAGGATGACACGGCCGGTTTACGACCGTGCGTAATAACGTGTAAAGTGTCGAGCAGGTTCGTGCGCACGGGTTCGGTGCGGCCAAGGTCGGAGCTGCCTGCTGGACCAGAACCTAAGTCCTCACTGCGTGAGGTGCGCCCGCAGGTGCCCGCAAGCGCCCTCGCACCAACACACAACCGCTCGGCCCGTTTGCGGGGCCGACGGAAACACCTACAAGAGTGCCTGCCACCTGCGACTCGCCGCCTGCCGCGCGGGTCGCGCCATTCCGGTCGCCTATAAGGGCCACTGCAAACGTGAGTCTACTACTACTACTACTACTACTTACTATAATACTACTATTACTACTACTAACCACCCACCCCTGCCCGCCCCCTCTTCTCTTTTTTTATTAATTCTTATCCGTCTGTTTGATTTCTTCTTCTTTTTCTTCTTCTTATTCTTATCGCTTATCGTTCCTACGAGCAAACCCTTTTTCATTTGTCCATCCTTACCTTTGTTTTTCCAAAATTGCCACCAGTAGTTCAATTTGTTTCGAAACATTTCCTATTAGTGATTTTTTACGTGTTCCGTCTTACTACCAACTCTTACGGACAGAACAAATGATCTTGGTTGCTGTTGTTGCTGCTGCTGCTGCTGCTACTGCTGCTTGCGTATGTATTATTTCGTAACAACTCGCGCGAACGAGTAAACACAAAGATCAACGGGAAAGATATTTTTACGAGCGGGGATACGTTCTTAAAACGATCATCCATCCTTGATGGATGAGATACGCTGGCTCGAAATAAAAAAATAAAAAAATAAAAGAAAAAAAGAGAGAGAGAGAGAGAGAGAGGAGAAGTAATGCAGCGAGGAGGAATCTGCGATTATGAACGTCGGTCCGGTGCATTCCGCGAGTATCCAACGTCCCGCGCGTGGATTCAAAAAGGAGAGAAGGGAAAAGAGAGAAGACGATGGTGGTAAAAAACATCGGGAGGCAATCGCAAGATCGTTCCAGGAAGTTCGTCGACCGAGACGCGATCCGCAGGCGGGTTAGGTGAGGGAGAACAAAAAAATGATAAAAAGAGAGAAAGAAAGAAAAAGAGTAAGAGAGACAGTGAGAGAGAGAGAAAGCGTATGCATGCAAAAAAAAAAATAGAGGGACAGAAACGAAGGGAAAGGAAGGAAGACCAAAAAAAAGAAAAAACAGAGAAAGGGTCGTAGTAGTAAGATGAAGCATAATTTTCTAGATCTTCCGTATTATAACCATAGAAATTATTAGAAATCGTTATGACAGAAATAGAAATAGTCATATTTCTATTCGAAATGATGCAGTTCGTCGCGCTCACGCAAAGCTTTCCGATTGGATGCCGCGTTTGTTAATTATTTGCCACTGGCAATACAATTGTCACTCGTCCGTATATCCTTTCGTTTTATTATACTCCTGTTGTTCTCTTCCTGTTTCTGCATTTAACTCTTTTTTTTCTTTTCTTTTTTTTTTATTCTCTCTCTCTCTCTCTCTTTCTATATATATATATCTGCCATATCTCTTTTCGTAGAAATAATTTTCGAACAAAATTACTTCCTTCAGGAAGAAGAAAAAAATAAACAAGGGTATTATAGATCAACCGGTTTTTATAAGATCCTTTTGACTGAAATATCAATTAAATTTTGTCGATTAGAAAAGAAAAAAAAACCATGAGATAATATCACATAGAAAAGTCAATATAGTGTAAATAATAGAATCTCTTACGTCGATTATATATATTATTCTTTTAAATATTTATTTGACGAAAAGTAGTAAAATACGCGAATATTTTGATGATTGACGAATATTTGAGCCATTCAGTGCACACATCGATTAACTTGAGAAATGCGATGAAATAATATATATTGTTTAATTACTTATTATTCAATGGGTAAAAAAATATTACCGTTTTTAATAGTGTTAATCTTTATTATTTAATAAAATTATTATAAATATAAAAAGTTACGACTTATACCATAAGTGCTTTGACACTTAAATTAAAGATTTTTTCAAAAAATCGAGTTAATCGATGTGTGTGCACTCAACGGCTCATTTAAACTCATTCGTTGTTTCTATTCCATGACCCAATTTTTAACATATGTATAATATTTATGACGAATTAAAAAAAAAAAAAAAAGAACAACACAACAACGATCAATTTGTAGATAAATCGTTAATATATATATATATATATATTTTTTAATCTTGAACTCCCTTTTCTTGGTTTTTTTTGGGTGGGGGTGGGGGCGGAGGGGAAAGAACGGTCTCGTTGTTTCCGGGCGCCAAAATCGAACCTCCAGATAATTTCATCAAGGTCTGGAATGTTACCAAGTCCTATTTATAAAGCGCATGCCATCGTGAGCAGAAATAATTGAAATGCATGTCAACGGTCCCAGCTGGCGTAGTCGAAACAGCTGATAGCCGTACGCGTGACTAGTGTCAGAAGGCGTTCGTTAACCTCCACTGTGAGTTACTAATAAAGAAGAGTTGCGAGTCGAATCTATTTGTAAAAAAAAAATTCTCTTGAAAACTCTCGATAGAAATAAATCGTATTAATGAGCATTAAGATTTAAACAGAGATTCGTCTAATCGAATGGGTTCAAATTGTACGTAGTATCGAATCACGATTATTACTTTGCCAACAATTTGTGCTCACCTATTTTTTTTGGTTTTTTTTTTTATTATTATTAATCGAACGATACGAATATATACTAAAAATCATTTTTCCCTCAGGGTTGTTTAATGTTGAAAAATTGTTGTGTGACGTAGGTATATATATTGCAAATTACGTATTCTCTTTTATTCATTCGCTAAAGGGTAGTATTCGTAGAAACAGGATATAGAAATATGTATGTAAACTTAGTGTTCAAAAGTGAGTTATCCATGAACTCGCGTGCAAATGATACATGATCAGAACTATGAATAAGGTATAAAAAGTAAAAAAAAATAAATAAATAAAAATTTTGTCAATGACACACCGTCTCGATCGTTCGCGAACGGTGCAAACAAATCTAGGGGTTCGCATAACTGCACAACACACCCTTATAGCCTCCGAGCTATATAATCCTGTGGCCGTTTCGATGGCCGATTCGCGCGAGTAACGCGGAATGCTAATAATGAAAGAGAGAGAGAGAGAGAAGAACAGAGAGGGAAAATAAAAAAGTAAAAAAAAAACAAAAAGAAAAAGGATCCAAGAGAGGTTCCTTTACACTCGCGTAACCCCGCCCACGCTGGTTGGTCGTGCTTACGTTTCTTCTCTTAGGCAGCAGCAACAACTAAATCCTCGTCATTCTCGTCCTCGTTCTCGTCCTCATCCTCATCATCATCATCCTCATCGTCATCGTCGTTGTCTCTTAATTTTAGAGTTGTGAACGTAGTCATCGTCATTGTATTTAAATGGCAAAAAGGCAGCAGCTGGTCGACTCTTCTTAACCTATCGCTTCGTACTGTAGAAGATGCTAAGTAAGAAAAAAGAAAAAGTGGAAGGGAATAAAATGAAAAAAAAAAAAAAAAAGTAAGAAAAAAGAAGACTCCACCATCTCTCCTTCTCTTTCTTCTTCTTCTTTTCGACTTCGTTTGCCTCCTCTTATTCCTTCTCCTTTTTCTCCCCCCACCTCTTCTTCTTCTTCTTCTTCTTCTTCTTGTCCTCTCTTTTTTTTTTCCTTCTCTCTCATCTCGTTCTTTTCGATAGGTGCCGCGTATAACAGCCGCGAGCGTATGCGTGCGTTATTTTAAGAATCGCGAGCGCGAGGTGCTTGCACTTGGCGCTGACAGAGGTAGAATGGAGATTGGGGAGGTGGGGCCCAAGCGGTTCCTGCTGTTGCTCTTGCTCTTGCTTTAAATGCTTGGACCTCTTCTCTCAACCACCGACCGACCGATAAACCGATATTTTACATCCATTACAATGAAAAAATCTTCTTACTCCAATCATCGTTAGAAATTGTTTATTCATTATTATTATTGTTATTATTATTAGTAGTAGTAGTAGTATTGTGTTTTAACTTAATATCTCTTTCAATATTATTTATCATAAAATGTAACTATACTTGCATTCAAAATATATTTGACGCGAGATTGATATTAAACACAAATTTCCCTAAAATACGTTGTTTCGTGCCAAATGACGACTCTTCTCTCGTATTGAAAAAAAAAATATATACATATATATATATTTGTGGCAAACGCGTCGCAATAAACGTGCGCGAGCTCCGAACGAACGTGTGTAAGGGCGTGTCCTTGTGACGTCCTTGCCCTACGGTCGTTCACCGTACGCACGGAACGCACGAACGCACGAATGCACGCACGCACGCACGAACGCACGAACGCACGTACCGGACAAGCGCCCACGCAAACTCGCGTCTTTCTTTCTGTCTCTCTTTCTCTTTCTTTCGTGCCCGGTACACATACTCTTTTATGTTTACGACATTAACGGCTTTCTCTCTCTTTCTCTCGTTCTCTCTTCCACACTGTCTTACTCCCTCTCTCTCTCTCTCTGTCTCTTTTTTTGTCCCTTTCTCCGCCCACCTTTCTCGAAACTAAAAATAACGACGGTGCGTTTCATGAATTCGGGGTACATCTATCAAGTCATGATCACGATACGATAATCGAATCGCAAATTCGAATATATCGAAGAAACCAATGTAAAAACGTTACACGACGCATAAAAACTTTAAAATAATATATATTTTTTTGTTCTAACTCCTGCTTCCAAAGTTCAATATTCGAGCCTTACCTAGCAGCAAACGTAAAGTCCTAGCGTGTTCTTTCATTTATATTTCCATCTTTTTTTCTTTTTCCACTTTTTCTATAACCCCTTCTATCTTTATTGTATTTGGTGTTTGAAACAACCCCCCCCCCTTTTCTTTCCCCTTTACTCACTTAACGGCTCGTAGGGTTAATCTGCGTATTCGGCCTCGTTGTAAACGCGCCATTTCTTAGGTTCGTGTCTCAATTTTTAAGCCCTATGAATGCCTAACTTCGCACATATTTATCAAAAATATCTATTACAATTATGGAGGGTAGAAGTAAGGAGTAACATCTCTGTATATGAAAAGTGTCCGTCGAAATCGAACCAATTGAGGTGGCGCCACATTAGCATTATGGTAAATTTTAAAGGAAGCGCCAAATATTATTAGAGTAGGATTGAGAAATAAACAATTACAATACATTTACAATTGCTACATTCATACCATACCAAGTATCTACACCAGCGCCATTCTAGAAGGTTTTTGAACTGTTATATTGACAGAAAAGGTTGGACAATTTTTTACATTTTCTTCCATAAGAGATGTTACCTCTATCCTCCATAATTACAATACAATTAAGGGAATTTTCTCATTTGTCTCTACGTTTATACTAAGTTTCTATTTTCACGTGATCCGTTCATAGTAGGTATCACATAAACGCTCATTTATATAGGATATACATACCTACATTATATTGTATATAACGTGTTAGTTACGTTATACAGAACTAACAGATAAATTATCTACCAGCTAGTATTAATAAACGATTTGAATAAAATAGATGGGGTATAATGTTTGTTATAAATAGCAAGAGAGAAGTAGTTGCAACACTAAATCACATTCTCTATGGTATCGTGAAAATGACCAGATCTTCTTATGCAAATTGAAACGAATAATAGAAGCGTTCTACGATTTAGAAATCTTTCAATAGATCTGTAGAAATACGAATATATATATGTATTTCTAAGACAACAAACCTTTACCTGGAATATGTTCGTTGTTGAAACCTGTTAAATTAGCCATTCGTTTTCTAAAGAGAAAAGAAAGAAAAAAGAAACAGGTGAGCCATCTTACATTAGGGTTTGCAAATCTCTCTCTCTCTTTCTCTCTTACTCTTTTTCTCTTTAACTCGTTTTCCTTTTCTCCGAGTGCTCTCAGCCATCTTCGAATTCTTTGGACGTTCGCATTAATCGATGCATTCCTCCAAGTCAAATAGCCTAACTAGCTCTTAACAACGTGTCGAGTTGCTTATCCATTTCCCTTGCGTTGTTTCTTCTATTTCTTTTGTCCCTTGCCCCTTCACGCATCTTTTTTTTTTTCAATTCTCTTCTTCCATAATACACCGAACAGTAATCGCGTTGTCGTTGTCATCGGTGCATCGTCGATGCGGTCTATACCGTAAACAAGTTACAACGAGAAAAAGGAATAAGTATCGGCTGTATGCAAACCGTGGCTTGTGCATCGGACTCTTCGTGATCATGTTTTACATATATAGTCCTGAGTTACGGAATAATACGTTCGACTTGAAATTTTCGATTTAACCGAACCCCATGACGAACGGTTAATAAATAAATTTGATGTATTTTCTTTTTTTTTTTTTTCAAACACCAAATACAATAATGCTTAGGGGTTATAGAAAAAGAGGAAAATAGGAAAAAAAAAAATAGAAATATAAATGAAAGAACGCACACGTCGTACGATCGGTAGGTATACCAGATACTTGTTATAAAAAAAAAAAAATGATGGTAGGTCGATGCACCCTGCGTCAGAGTCTCCTCGCAACGTCTCGCAGCATTATTTTCTTGCTCTTTTAGCTAATGACATAGCCGCGAAACGTTTCTCCGAGCTCGGTCTCGGTCGCACGATCGTTAGACAGCTCGGCAAATATCACCAGACGTATCTATCGGGCGAAAATTAGTTTCTTCCGTGTTGCACACTCCCTTTCTCTCGTTGGCTTCTCCTCGCCTACTTGTATCCACCACCGTCGTCGTCGTCGTCGTCGTACCAACGGAACTAAAAGAGAAGAAACAGGATGAAGAGGAATAGAAAAAAAAAAGAAAGAAAAAAAAACTATCATTCACATTTACTAGTCGAGCGTAAACCGTTCACGAACTATCTGACTATCGAACTACCTATCCCTGTCTACTTTCTTCTCCTTTTTTCTATTTCTCTTGATCTTTATTTCTTTATTTTTCTTCTTCTACTTCTTCTTCTTTCTTTCCTTCCCTACGTGCAGTATCAAGTATGCGAAAATAATAGCAGATTCTTACCACGTTGAAGGATATTCCGAGCACGCGCGTGAACCGATCTCCAAGCAAACGATTCTAACAGAGACGATTCGAGGAAACAAGGTGGAAGCTCTTTGGTGAAAGGAAACGATCGTTATATAATAATACGATACGATACGATACCAAGCAAGCACACAAGTTTTATGGTCGAATTTAAAAATAATAACTTATATCATGATTCGTTTGTTGTTGTAATTCGCTCGTTTATTACTTTGAAAATTTGCTGAATTTCGAAGAGGAGAGAAGTATTCCTTCCTTTACCGTTTCCCAAAGATTCTTCTCTTCTCGAAGGGCCATATTTCTCTCTCTCTCTCTCTCTCTCTCTTTCTTTTTCCAACCTCGCCAAAGAGGAGGCTAACGTAAATGAGTAAACAAACCACAGCCGGTTTAGCGCGACGAGGTGTCGCGGTGCAAATAATCGTCTTTCTCGAAGATCCAAGGCGCGAAAGTGCACGTGTCTGCAAATATACCTTCTTTAATATGTGCTCGGAACGAACCCATACGAGCTTTCCTTTCGGACACTCCTTCACCAACTCCACACTCTCTTACACCGGCTCTTTTCTTGCTCTCTTCCCTCATCGAGATTCTCTTCTCGCACCACTCGAGGGATAACCCGTCATCATCAACGAACGCGTCGAGTGATTTCCTCATCCTCTTTCAATTTTTCTTTTCTTTTCTTTCTTCTATTTATTCTTTTTACTTTGTTTCTTTTTTCTTCTTCTTCTTCTTCTTCTTCGTCTTCTTTTTTTTCTATTTCCCCCACCTACTATCTGCCGATAATTACGACAGTGGGCATTAATTCTTACAGCCAAAAATTCACTTTTCAAATTATTCAATAACATTATGATAATACATATATATATATATATATATATTATTTAAATAAATCATATGAAAATTTAGAAATTTTTATTTTCAATTCTATAACTTATAATTAATTATTACGTTCGTCATAATTGTCGGCACGTGTTTCAACTATTCCAAATTTTCGGATCATTCGAATTTTGTCTCTTTTTTTTTTTTTTAGTTTTTTCTTTTCGAACGCTATACAGCGAGGGGTTGGAGATTGAAAGACATTCCCCCTTCCCCCTTCCCTCTTCCACCTCTTCCCCCTCTTCCCCTTCCGTGTCACCCTCTCATGTCAGAATGGATCGTACCTTTGTGTGAATCACGCGATTGAAAAGGAAACAACGCTCGTGGTACCACCCGCAGTCCAATCGACGTTAACGATGCTGTGTCAATGTCATGYGAGATTGAACGTTCAATGACCCTCTCCCGCCCCCCCTCCCTCCCTCTCTCTCTTTCCAAGCCATTGCATAACGTCGTAGCTAGGAACGATCTCGCGGTCGTTAGACGTATGTACCATAGAACCCGAGCATTAGGCTAATCGAGTATAGCACGATGACGAGGGTCGTTCCACGCGTCGTTTATTAACGATTTTTCTATTAGAACTAGGCGTCTTTCGGTCGGAAGATCCGAGTAGTATGTTACTCTTTTCTTTCCTGACACGGATTAAATTCTTGTTGTTGTTGTTTTTTTTTTTTTTATTATTATCAACAATATTTATTAATCAATAAGTATTTTTTGATTGTTTGCATTCCTTCCAAACAACTAATCTATCGAGAATGACAAATCGCGTCGGATAAAAAAAAGAAAGGAAAATAAATGATCGAGAAATTTTCTCATAGAAACCGTAGTATATAATAACCTTTCCTTCTTAAAACCCGTCCCTTCCCCCAGTCCCAGTCCCAGTCCCAGTCCCCTCTTTCTCATACTTACTCTCCGTGAGAAATAGATTATTGACCCAAGTAGGTGTAACGACTTATATTATTGCGGCAATCGTCTACACGTTTCCACACGCGGTATAAGGCAACCTCGTTTTTTAAATTATAACGTAAGAATACGTAGATAAAGAGATACGAACAATATCGATGAGGATCGATGAACGTTTCTCTTATTCTACGTTAATTAAACATTGATCAAAAATTCGCGTCTTTTTATTTAATAAATAGAAAAATAGAATGAAGAAGAAGAAGAAGAAGAAGAAGAAAAATATAAAAAAAAAATGAAAAAACAATGGGATAGATCATTTGAATGTATATTTGTAGGAGTTATGTGTGACGGTTAACGAGTCGCGCGTTTTCATGTTTGTTCCGCAGAGAACGCGGATTGCACGACGATTCGCTGTCGAGAGGGGCAGACCTGCCTGACGGAGATAAAGTCCGGTCGGCCGCGTTGCGTGACCTGCACGTACCGTTGCCCCCGGAAGCGGGAGCGCGTCCGGAACCGGACGCACCGCGATCGTGATCGGGATCGAGATCCATCGACGACCATGCTGTGCGCGACCAACAACATCACCTATCCCAGCTGGTGTCACATCGTCAAGGACGCCTGCGTCACCGGCTTCGTTCTCGAGACGCGACATGCCGGACCCTGCAACGCCTACGACACATCTCCCCTTTATATCGGTGAGCAACCAATCCAAACGAGGCTCGAGCCTACACGTTTAACCCACACTCATGCACGCACGCATGCACGCACGCACGCACGCACGCTAGCACGCTACTAGCAAGCACGTACATACACGTATATATATATACATATATACATGTTAAGATAAGTAAAGACTCTATTCGTAGAATCGTCGATTTTCCGTGCTCTAGGCTTTCAACTATAAAGGACGCTTACATTAGTTTATTTTTATCCAGCTCGTTTCGGATCGACGACGACGAATCGTTTATTTTAGATTTCGCCATCGCTATTGCCACCACCATCACCACCACCACCACCAACCATCACCGCGAGAAAATTTTCTTCTCTTCGCGTTTTTGTCTATTATATTTCACTCCTAGGCTCTATCATCGATCTATTCATCTTTCTTGCTAGCTTGGCTTGCTTGCTTGCTTGCTTGCTTACTTTCTTTCTTTATTTTTTTTTTCTTTCTTTCTTTTCTCCGTTTCTCTCTTTCTTTTCTCTCCTCTTCTTTACTCTAGTACTCTCAGAATATGGCGTGGGCCATTCAAGCGCCGCAGTTCGCTCGAACGAACGACCGATCGGCAGGGTAATCCAGCGTGGAATTCGCTTTGCTCAAGTCGCGTCTGCAAATAAACGCGCCCACGCAACCAACGCACACTACGATACATAGAAGAAATAACCAAACGTCCAAATCAGCACCCAGATCGGAGAACCGGAAAAGAAATCGTATTGAAATTTTACCCTCTCAAATACTTTCGCTAATCTTTTCCCCCCCCCCCTGTTTTAAATATCCTACATTTGAAATAACAAATAATAATATTTCCTCATGTTACTTATACAATACTTGTAAAGAATCCAGACATTTTATAAAATTATCGAGTAAAATTGTAAGTAAAATCGATTAATATTATATTTTGAGAATGTTTCTTCTCGTACATTGACCGGTCAATCTATAAAATACCCAAAGAATCTTTTTGCTCAATTTAAAATATATACTTCAATTGATTATGTTTAGAAATACGGAACAAAAGCAAGTGTTTTTTAAATTCGTCTAAACACATAGGTAAAAAATCCGACCAATGGAAATGTAAACTATTTTCGTTGACACAATGTCCTTTTAACAAGTTTAATGTAATCTTTCAAATGTGACATAACGTGTGTCATACATAAATAGGTTTCAATTGAAGATCATTTATATTATCATCGGATTCGAATTCGTAACGCATTTCCGTTCTTTTCTTTGATTTAGTTTCATTTCTTTTTTTTTTCTGTTTATCCTACCGTCGTCTATTTGTTTCTTTTGTTAGATGCGTTTTTGTTGTTGTTGTTGTTTTTTTTTTTTATTTCTTGTTTTCTTTTTTTTTCCATTCTATATCTTTTGAAGGTTTTTTTTCAATCGGTGAGTAAAGCGCGGGACGACGAACAGGTAGGAAATCGATTTGCACGACAAAACACGTAACAATAGTCGTCGCTCTGTTCATTCCACCTCCCCACTAGCACTAACCCCACCCCACCCCACCCACTCCGTTTCCTCCTCACCCCTTCCACTTTGTTAATAGCAACCTAGCGCACTCGTTGCGCGCCGGTGCGAAACCATGTGTTGGTGAGAGATGCAAGGACCTGTTGCGCGTGTAACACGGAAGTGGGAAAGTCTCGTTCGTGCATCGATTCATAATAGACTATTTCTTTTGTCGTCTGACGCGATTAGGATCCATGTGTGTTAACCTATTCAATGAGACTATATGCAATACTCTCGGTTTTCATTTATTGAAATTATTTATTATTATTTATATATTTTTATCTTTCATTTTATTCTTTCTTATATTCTTTTCGTTTTTATCTTTAGTTTCATTTCAATTTTCCCAATTTATAATTATTTATCTCTTGTTTGTAGAGGGGTGAGAGAGAGAGAGAGAGGGATTTTTCTTTTTTGTCTGATTATTTCTATTATATTCTATGGAGGGTTGAGGTAAAGAGTAACATCTCTGTATATGAAAAGTGTCCGTCGAAATCGAACCAATTGAGGTGGCGCCACAGTACGTAGAGTGTCAATTTTAAAAGAAGCGCCAAATATTATTAGAGTAGGATTGACAAATAAACAAGGAACACCAATTTTACCCATAACTTTTTCATAAAATGAAATAATAAACAATCAATAAACGTACTATTTTCACAGTTCACGAAATAAAATCACTCTAGTTACACGTTTTCTCATAATAATTCTTTAAGGTTATATTTACTACATTATTACATAACTCGGCATACTTCAATTCGTTTACAATTGCTACATTCATACCATACCGTACTACGTTCACCAGCGCCATTCTGGAAGGTTTTTGAACTATTATTTATAGAAAACGCTGAACACTTACTTTTTCATATTTTCTCCCATAAGAGATATTACTAGTGATCCTGTAGGAGGGATGCGCCATTCATATTAAGCTCATGTGCCATTGGCTGAAAATTTTCGAGGACCGCTTGAATTTATAATAATTTTTTCCTGTAACCTATTCTATTTTAATATAAATTGTTAATTATCATTAAATATAGTTCATTTTTTTTTCTGTATTTGATGCAATTCATTATTTCATAATTATTTCAATGTTTGAATCATTCGTGCGCAAAATCGAGTTCCGGTCTCCCAGCAATGTACATGGAGCATCCCTCCTATAGGATCCCTAGATATTACTTCTTACCTCTACCCTCTATATATAAGACTAACAATCTCATGAAATATCGGTACCAAGAGGCGAAATGTGTCGATTTTTTTGTTGCAGAAGAGGACAACACGTCGAGCAACTATGGCGTTGATTTAGCAGACGAGGAAAGAAAAATCTCAGAGGAAGATTCGGAATCCTCTAAGACTTTCCAACAACATCATACGTTGGCATCGACGTAGCGCGATTCAAGTTAAACAACATCCCCCATCCCCAAGAATGGTAGGATAGATAAAAATGCAAGCAAATCGATTTGTTTTAAACGAATGATTAATCGAAAAGAGAAAAGTTGTCCCTTCTTTCGAGACTCGAATGATCCCTTTCACGAAAATTCCATGACTATGCATGTCCGATATGTATATATGTGTGTGTATATAGAGATATACATATACACGCATACATAGATGTATACATGTAGTATGTATTTATATATCGGTGAAAAGAGATACGAGTGAAAGGGGAAAATATATATATATATATATATATATATATATATATATATATATATATATATAT